GGCTCTGGAAACTGGGCTAGAATTGGGGAGTCTAATGATGGGGCAGCTCTACGGGGTGGGGGGCTGGCACTTTAGGGATTTGGGATGAGGGATAGCACTGAGGGGATTGGGTGCAGGGAACTCTGGGGTCAGTGGCTGGTGCTGGGGGTAGTGGAGGGCTGGTGGGCTGCCACTGGGGTCTCTAGAAGCTGGGCTTTTAGTGGACTGTTTCATTTGAATATTTGCATATTCATAATTTGTGCAATGAATTACGGGGTGGGGGGCTGGCACTTTAGGGATTTGGGATGAGGGATAGCACTGAGGGGATTGGGTGCAGGGAACTCTGGGGTCAGTGGCTGGTGCTGGGGGTAGTGGAGGGCTGGTGGGCTGCCACTGGGGTCTCTAGAAGCTGGGCTTTTAGTGGACTGTTTCATTTGAATATTTGCATATTCATAATTTGTGCAATGAATATGCAAATGAAATTCTACCAGTCCACCAAAAGTTTGTGAATGGATTTGATGGTCCCCAGTAACAAAAAGGTTGAGAACCCCTGCGCTAAATCGAACGCTAGAAGATTCACCTCCAGAGGGCCAATCTTCTCCATAGCGTAGACGTGCCTTAAGAGTTTAATCGGTTAACAGGTTACCTGAAAAACAGTAGGCTTATCAGCTTGCTTACCCAGTAACCTGTTAACCCGCCTGGCTGGATCAGTTCCTTGCCTGTGGTGCGGCAGGTTCCGTTGGAGCAGCCCTCCCTCCTTCCATCCCATGTGACCCTGTACCACCACTCAGCTACTCCCAGTTCTTACGCAGCTCTGCACACCCATTCCCAGTAAGTTCCTGGCTCAGTGCTGTCATGCTAGTATTTCCTGTACCCCTATCCCAATCTCTCCCCCAATCATTGTGACCTACCAGCAGTCCCTTGTGCTGTGTGCCTCCCATTCTCTTCTCCTCTTCTCCCCTCCCCCCCATATCCTATGCATCTTCACCTGGCTCCGCAGACGGGTGCATTTGTGGAAGATACGGATTCTGCAGATGTATGGTAACACAGTATTCCCTCAGGAGTATCAAGTGCACAAAGTAAATATGTTCAGCTATACTGTAGTGTTCCTAGCAGTGACATTGGGTAAATCTAAAGCAGTCACTTGGTCTGGCCCACGAAAGTGCATCATCTAATAAACCTTCTTGTTAGTCTTTAAAGTGCTACATGGTCCTGTATTTTCTTTCAGCTACACCAGACTAACACAGCTACATTTCTATCACTTGGAAATAGTGTAATCCAAATTCCCACTTCATAGTGTTTAGTAGCAGAAATACAGTTGAGATGTAAAATGTTAGATAAAATGTGTAATCCACTGATGCTGTAAAGCAGGCTATTCAACTTTGGAAGCCCCAGGGCCACAGTGATACTCGCAGCACATGCTGAGGGCCACAGCTTAAGTGTAGTTGCATATACATGCAAATATATATGCAGATAGCCTTTTGCACACTGATGGGCATGAGTACAAAGATTAAGGCAAGACTACACAACACACAGGCCCCATTTAAGTCTGTTCTGCTGATATTAATAAAATGCAATGTTTACCCGATTTCTATCCATATGACAGCACTTTAATGAGCCCAGGAATTTAACTACTAAAACGCATATCAACAGAATACTGTTATATTGACTACTTTTTTGTTTTGGTTTCCACCCACGGGCCACATGTTGAGCCCCATGTAAAACTAAATCGCACTAAATAGGGCTCCATGTTGAGTAGCCCTGCTGTAAAGTCTTGTCTCATATTTCATGAAAAGATGTATGCATAATCTTTGAGACTGTATGTGTTGTTTATTTTTTATTTCCAGCAATGGAGATATCTACGGGAGGATGCAAACATAGTGCATTGTTAGAAGTTACATTTATTCCTAAATCCTATTTAGAAATGTTATGAAGTATCTAATATTGCTTAATTGATAAGTTCAGATCTTATTAAAATATCTTTTTCTTCACCTCTTGTAGCTGGAATATTGTGGTTTAGACTCTTAAACTATGACAATATGGCAAGATTTCACAGAAGAACTTGCATTATTTTGTTGCTTTTTATTTTATTCATTTGCTCCATGATGATGGCTTTGAAGACTCTGAGACCTGACAGAGCTGGTTTTGGGGATCCATTTGGACTTGGTCTCTTACCGGAACTTCAACAACGAACATTTTTAGAAAATAAACATAGTTCCCTAAATGCTGCCAAGGAGGATAGGGTAGCAAACACCAATACGCACAGTATTGCAGTTAACAGCATGAAAACATCTATGGCCTCTATAAGGAAGTTGGAAGAGGAACTGCCTTTACCTAATTATAACTTCCATGTGTTCTACTACAGCTGGTTTGGGAATCCACAATTTGATGGTAAATATATTCACTGGAACCATCCACTGGTACCACATTGGGATTCCAAAATTGCAAACAATTATCCAAAAGGAAGACACAATCCTCCAGATGATATTGCATCCAGTTTTTACCCTGAACTTGGAACTTACAGTTCTAAAGACCCTGCTGTCATAGAAGCCCACATGCAACAGATGCGATCAGCCTCTGTTGGTAATAAATATTTGTTTATTTTTACATTTTTTTCATTTGTTTGACCTCAGATATTTGAGTAAACAGAATTGTTCACTTCCTTTGTTTTTCCTATTTATTGGAATTTAAGGAACCTTTGGTATTTTCTTTGTGTACATGAGAAATTTGTCAATGATTGATTCATGGAACTTCTGTTTCTAACAAATGACTTTGTGCTTCGGGTTCAGTCCATAATTTAGTGTCTCTTCTTTCAAGCTGCTTCATATTGATAGACCTGTATAGAGCAGATGTAGGTTTGGTGACTGTCTCTATAAACCATATTTCTCGCAGACCACACAAAGAACCCTTTTGGCCAAATATGATCTTCAGGCCAGAGGTTGCCCACCAGTTATTTAGATGAAGGAATTTTAATATTTGTTTACCTGTTAAACAGTATTTCTGTAGTGTAAACATTACACATGTAGGAATTTTTGTAGTGGATATGTCTTTCAAATAGAGATCTGCCTTTTGGGTGCATCTAGACTACATTCCTCTTTCGAAAGAGGAATGTAAATGAAGGAAATTGAAAATGCAAATGAAGTGCAGACTTACAAATCTCGTGCTTCATTTGCATAATCACATCCGATCACTTTTTTTGAAAGTTTTTTCCAGAAAATAAAAAAAAGCAGGGAAGAAAGGGAAAGAAAACCCTTTTTCAAAAGAACCCTGTAAAACTCATTTTTTCAGGAATAAGTGTTCTTTAAAAAAAGGTTGGGTTTTTTTTCAAAAGAACCACGTCTAGACTGCTTTTTAAAAAAAATCTTTTTCAAAAAAAGCAATCGGACGTGATTATGCAAATGAAGTGTGAGATTTGTAAATCCGTGCTTCATTTGCATTTTCAATTTCCTTCACTTACATTCTTCTTTCGAAAGAGGAATATAGTCTAGACTCACCCTATATATTTCTGTAATGGTTCTCAGGCAATTCAGAACCAAATGTCACCTTCCCCACCTCCATCAAGAGGAAGACTTGCTTGGGTGTTAGCTCCCTCACACCTCCAGCCTATTAGGCAAAGTCCAGAGGAGACTGTTTGGGTAGCTATCTTAACAATAGGTACACCCTAGTTCACCTCTTTTGAAGCAATCCCTGTAGTATGCAACCCCTTATCCATTGAACACTCTCAGAAATCCTAGGTATGCTGCCTTCAGGGGGATTGTGTGCACACCAGTTTGTATGATTCTACTTAGGATCAATAATACTACAGCGTTAGATGCATTTATACTGAAAACAACCATAAGTTTATTATCAAATTTTTAAGAGATAATGAGTAAGGATATAGAAACATATGGTGACATATAAAATGATTATAACCCACTTTCTAGTGTCTATATTTAACATATTAATCTGCAGTCTAAAATAGGTTTATCACATCTAAAGTATTGCCTGTTAACTTTTTAGGTGCAAGATAAATTTGTCTTTTTGCCTTCTCCTTGTATCCCCCAAAGTTTATTGCATGGCTGGGGGGACTGCACAGTGGAGCCAGTGGTGGCTTTTAAGGCGGAATTGGCTTTTAAGGCGGCTCCCCTCAGCACTGGCTCCTGCCTCCCTCCCCTCTGTGCCTCTGTAGGAGGCAGCAAGGTGTGGGGGAACAGGCAGGTCGATGGAGCTGGCACACCTAGGGAGTCTTCGTAAAAGCTGACTCCCCACGCCTGTCAGCTCCAGCATTCCCCTTCACCCTCCGTGCTGCTGCCTCTCTATCAGAGGCAGCAGTGCAGAGGTCTGGGGGCAGGCAATCTGAGGCTGTGGGGAGCCGCTTAAAGCCAGCTCTTCATGGGCACCAGTTCCCCCCTCCCACCCCCTCCACTGCCTCTGATACCTGGAGCTGAGGGGGGCAGCAAGGGGTGGTACATGTAGTCGACAACATTAACTGATGACCTAGGCTTATCAGTTAATTGGGTAGTCAACTACACATTGACATTTCTATCCCAGACCCTGGGGAAATCCTGCTGCCTCCCTGTTTGTAGATCCCCCACTGATTTGGGTCATTTAACCTCTTCTAAAATATCCCACCCTATTTCACCCTATTTCACCTTCTCTTCTTGTGGAGGTGACCACAGCAAGGAAAGATGAAATGATGAACAGATAGCAAGGTTTCAAAGGGTTTCCCCATGAGTGTGTATAACAAGGTTAAGATCCCAGATTGGCACACTTGCTATATATTTCAAATAGACAAAGTCATCTTAAGACTTCATTCTAAATTTCTCCCAAAGGTGGTATCCTTATTTCATTTAAACCGACCAATCTATTTAATGGTGTTCTTTCTGAAACATTACACTGACATCAGGACACATCTCTCCACTCTCTCAATGTCTATAGGGCCCTCCAGTTCTACCTAGAAAGAACAAAAAGATTTAGAAAATCCTCCTACCTCTTATTGGTTACAGAGTGATCCAAGGATGAGGCCATCTCCAAACAAAGATTATCTAAGTATATGGTGGACTAGATCTGCTTATGCTATCACCAGAACAATGTCCTGGCTTCAACTGTGATTTGTGCACACTCCACCAGAGCATTGTCCACGTCACTAGACTTTGTTACCTGGGCTTTGGCCCACATGTTTACCAACCACTGTTCCTTCGAACAACATTCCTCTGCAGACACACAGTTTGGACTCTTTCTACTCTCATCTAGATCCTCGAGGGATACTGCTTCATAGTCACCTACAGGGGAATACTTCAAAAAAGAGATTACTCATCCTGTGCAGTTACTCATCCTGTGCAGTAACAGAGGATCTTCAAAGTGGTTATCTCTTTGGGTGCTCCACTACACACACACTCTCTCTCTGCTTCAGAGTTTCACTCTTACTCTCTGGGGTAGAGAAGGATGGATGGCAGTGCATGTAAGGTAACCTCTTGAAGTGGTGCGAGACTACTATTGCACATGCAAGGCCAACTGGGGCACTATCACTACAAATCTGTGACTAAAAGTGCAGTGTGGCAAGACACCTAAAGTGGAACAGTCATCTCGAATAACCTTAGTTACTGCACAAGGTGAGCAACCTTCTCATATAGTGCCTACTCTCTCACTTTTGTGAACTAATGTCATTCATATATAATGACTTTATTACCTGACTCTAAACCCCAACAATTGTTCCATTGCATTTCAGACCATATGACTTGTCCACTGGATGTGTCTACCGTTAAAATGTGTCATACCATCCTTTTTTTTCTAATCTAAAGGCAACCCATGACCTCCAAACAATAAGAATATTGTACAAAGATGGTGGATATTATGATTTTTATGTAGTAACTAAGACTTTAGTATAGGTATTGTTGCATTTTACATTATTCAGTGGGCTGATGAACAGGGTCCCCTGTAAGTTGGATGGTTTGTGACCACTTGAGAAATTCAAATCTTACCCTTCTGATTAGCAGAGAATCCACAACTAGGCTTTTTGTTTCTATGGGTGGTGCCTTGGTGCACATAAAAGGTTCATTCCACACATGGATGGAAAAGATTAGACAGTATATAGGAGGGAGGAATTGTATATGACACTTAAGCAAAGTACAGAAATAGCAATGATAGAATTTTATCAGGCCATTTGTCTGCTCATCTGCACTAATTGCAGGGTCAAATTAAGTATGCAGCTACATACATTGAAGTTATATTAAAGTCTTTCCCTTTTTCCATCATAAAAAAATGTCAAACCATACTTCCATATTATTCCCATAAGAATTATGTACATATATTTTGTACTAGAATAGTTACCCAACATTGCTCGGGTCCTTAATTAATGTTTGTTTTTGGGACAATAAAATGAAAATTTACATGCTTTCTTTAAATCATTGCTGAGGGTTGGGGTGAGAATGAGAGGCTCAGAATACATGATGCCCTGGGAAGAGAGGACTACCCCAGCCCTGTCTCATCACCGCAGCTTATAACCGGGTGAGACACACCACTCCGTGGCCATTGCAGCTTCAGGATGCATAGCCAGGGGAGGGGTGCATGTTCCCTTCTGGGGCAGATCCAGATTAATCTGTTCTCTGTTTGCCCCAGCTAGATTGAGGAATGCAGAAAGCTGTGAAGTTTCCTTTCACTCCCTGACAATGTTCCCATGTGACTCGGGGGTGGGGGGGAATCTGCCCTTCCTCCCTAAAGGATGCCTGGGAGGGGGTGAAGTCCAGGGCTGACTGTATAAACTATGTTGCACATTAATGTGAATATTTATACTTTTCATGTACTTCTGTTTCTTTAAAATTTTAGTAGGCATAGTTTATTTTTGGTGGTATAACTCATGTTTTGTATCTTAGGTGTCATAGCACTTTCGTGGTACCCACCTGGTATGGCTGATGAAAATGGGGAACCTGCTGAAGATTTGGTGCCTGTTATTTTGGATAATGCACATAAATACAATCTAAAGGTATAGTATTTTTAAAGTATTCATGTTCAGTAAATCTCTAAATCAAATGTACAGATATATTTTTGCTCATGGTCTCAGTAATTTGTACACTTTTAACTGTTGTGTATATATATTGGCTATAAACAGACTAAAAGCTTTATTTTTCATGGGGTGTGATATGTGTGGATTCTTAATTGTTTGGCTTTCATGAAACAAAGCCCTCTTTAGGGGGCAGTGCTCCTGGGAGATGTCAATGGCCTTATAGCTGAGCCCTCCCAGAGCTCCCAGCTAGTACAGTGTGGCTACGTCTATACTGGCATGATTTTCCGAAAATGGTTTTAACGGAAAAGTTTTCCGTTAAAAGCATTTTTGGAAAAGCATGTCTAGATTGGCAGGATGCTTTTCCGCAAAAGCACTTTTTGAGGAAAAGCGTCCGTGGCCAATCTAGACACGGTTTTCTGCAAAAAAGCCCCGATCGCCATTTTCGCGATCAGGGCTTCTTTGCAGAAAACACTACTGTGCTGTCTACACTGGCCCTTTTGCGCAAAAGTCTTTCAGAAAAAGACTTTTGCCCGAACGGAGCAGCATAGTATTTCCGGAAAAGCACTGATGATCTTACATGATATCATCAGTGCTTTTGTGGAAATTCAAGCGGCCAGTGTAGACAGCTGGCAAGTTTTTCCGCAAAATCATTTGATTTTTGCGGAAAAACTTGCCAGTCTAGACACAGCCTGTATGTGTTGCTGTGCTGGGGGGCTGTTACTTAACTCTGTGCCTTGGCTGGAGGAGACCAGTCCTTCTAGTCCAGTAGGACAGAATGGTGGGCTCAGTGGCATGACCAGCATGCTGGTTGACAGTATCAAGGAAATCCCTGTGATGCTTCCCATCACAGCATGTATCCTAGAGAAAAAGACTAAGGACATGTCATCCTAGATTGTAGAAGAGACTCAGTGTGGGCAGGGAAAATACCATGGTTTGTATTGGTTTATTTGTCAACACCTAAAGAAAAGAAGAAAGGTTACTTGTTAAGGCACAAAAACAAAAATCTCCTCAAACCTCACCACTTTTCATTTCATGTATGAGTAAAGCAGAAATTTACTTTTTAAGTAATACCTGAATTTCTTTAAGCAGAGAGGAGTCCAGATCAAGGGAAAAATAGGATGATAAAGTTAAAATATTAACTTTTCCATTTCTTTTCCCAAGTCCTGGTTACATAGCTATCTTTTAAATTCTATGCAAAAAGGAACAAAAAACAATTCTGGTTTTGAAAGAGAAAATCAGCATGTCCTATTACCTGTATGGTTATTTCCAGGGAGAGTCAAGTTATGTGCATTTTATCAGCTCCAAATGTATGATAAAGCCAGAATAATAGCTCATTGAAACTGATAGACATAGAGCACAAACTTTTCTTGTCTGATTTAAGGAAAGCTAAATTGTTCTCCTCTAGTTACCCCTCTCCATTTTGAAAATTTACCATTTATTCCTACTCTGTTTCCTGTCTTTTAACCAGTTCTCAGTCCATGAAAGGGTCTTCCCTCTTATCCCATGACAATGTAATTTACACAAGAGACTTTGGTTAAGGACTTTGTCAAAGGCTTTCTGGAAATCTAAGTATACTATATACTACTACTATATCTACTGGATCCCCTTTGTCCACATATTTGTTAACCCCTTCAAAGAACTCTAACAGATTAGTAAGGCATGATTTCCCTTTATAGAAACCACGTTGACTTTTGCCGAACAAATTATGTTCTTCTACATGTCTGACAATTTTATTCTTTACTATTGTTTCAACTAATTTGCCCGGTACTGTTGTTAGACTTACTGGTCTGTAATTGCTAGGGTCGCCTCTAGAGCCCTTTTTAAATATTTTACTTAATATCAGTTCACATTAAATGTTCATCAATTTTTTAAGTTAGTGGTGTTCAGTGGTTAATGGGGACATGGAGCCAGGGGACTCCTGGGTTCAATTACTGGGTCTGGCTGACTTCATATAGTATTTTGTTCAACTCTGATTGCCTTTCTCTTCTTGGGTCTTTCTATAAAATGGATAGAAGGGTAAAATACCTAAATTTCAGAGATGTTGAAAACATACTCTGAGACCCTCTGAAAAATACTGAGAAAAGCAGGGTATAAGCCACTTTAAAGCAAGTTCACAGTAGGAAAATGGACACCTCTTCAGATGCCTTGTGAAATTAAAAACAATTCTTAGGAGCTACACTTCAATAAACTGATTTTAATTCTCTTCTGTTAACTATGTGCCTTAATTTTTTCTGACTTATTCATCAAAAACAAAAAAGGCCTTTGGGTTCAGTATCAATATTCAGTTAATTGGTAGCTTGAAATGACTGAAATGGGAGCTTCCCGCATCTCCTATTGGCCATGAATGGCAAACTGTGGCCACTGGGAGCTGTGAGCAGCCATACCTGTGAATGCTTCAGGTAAACAATGTGGTGGCCCGCCAATGGCAAACCCTGGTGAACCACGACCGGCCTGTGGGCCGCTTGTTGCCTACCCCAACCTGACCTCTAAATTCCACGTTTATCTTGCTCATTGTCCCCA